GAGGGAGAGAGAGAGAGAGAGATAGGCCCATTCAGCGCAGCATTCAATCCTCAAGCCTGCCACCAAAAACGCTCGAAACAGCTGCGATTTCGACCTCAGGGCTCTAGCCTCCTTGGAGGTTCAATTCTAGTTATAAGTGGGGTTTACCAGTCGGGTAACTAGAATTATGAACCATATTAAGGGGAGCTTTAACCCTACTTATCGCTGCCCATGATCCTCCAAGTAGTCCTTAAGTCTCTACACTCTACACCCTAAGCCCTAAACCGCTGTCGCTGGAGAGAAGGAGTTCAACACAAAAGAAACTGAACCGCCAAGGCTTATAGGCTCAAGGTAGTTCCGGCAGCATAGGCTGCGGCCGCCTGGGCGTGTGGGTCTGGGCCTCAAGAAGTCAGAGCTTCGGGTTTCTACGGTAGAGGTTTAGGGTTTAGGGTATATTGTTCAGCAGTTCCGGGGCGTTGGATTTGTATCATAGTGGGCCCGTCTACTCAGCATTAGTATCTCTCCATAATGTTTTTTTTTATGTTTTTGGTAGACCCCGGAACCCTGCTCTCAGGATCGAGGTCGCCGTGTTCGGTGGCTTAGGGTTCCATAGCCCAAAGCATCCCTGAGGCGCCATGTCTACCTCTTTGATGTCGACCTCGAAGATGATCACGCCAGGGCTAGAGACCGGCATGAGCCGCTTGGGCAGCATCTCCGAGGATGAGTGTGTGGGGGGGGGGTGCCCGGTTGAGGGCTCAAGCAGTCTAAGGCTAAGGATTAGGTGTTCGGGTTAGGGGTTTAGGGGTTTTAGGGGCTTAGAGTTATAGAGTTTATCTGCTTGTAAGGTGTGTTTTGTGATGGTGGGTTGGAGGGGTGCGGTATTGCAGGGTTCGGGGCTTTCTCCATGATCATTCCGAGCTTGCCATCTCTTCGCTTCTTGTCCTTCTCGGTGTTTCCGGCTCAGAGTCCAAGTGTTTAGGGTTTAAGGTTTAGGGTTTAGGGTATAAGGTTTAGGGTTTAGGGTTTAAGGTTTAAGGTTTAGGCTTTAGAGGAGTCTAGGGTTTTCGGGGGTGCAAGGCTGTTGTGTAGTACTACATGCTCAAGGTTCCTTGAGTGATTTTGCGTTATCCTCCCTTCTATAGTCTTTTGACAACGCACGCCTTATTCGTCTGTCTTCTCGCTGCCAGAGCTCCTTCAACGGATTCCACACGGGTTAAGCTTTGGGTTTCGAGGTTCGGGCGCAGCAGAGGGGCCTGAATACTTCGTCAACGTGTTCGTGGCCCATCAGAAACCTTGCAGTCTGAATCCGGAGCGAGATAATGGGGCCTCCATAATTACCTGTACTAGTTTTTTTGCGGTGGGGGGTTCCTTATTATAGCTTATTATGATTATAGTATGGTATACCCCAAGACCCTATTCTAACTATTCAGGCCCTACATGAGGAGATTCTCAAAACTAAGGCGCCGCAGCCCGTCTCGAGAAACCCAGATGATTCAATACAGATACCTGAACTGGTAGGAATATTTTTCCATAGGCTCATTAAAAATCTGCTATGCCCCATGACAGCCATTCTAGATATCGAGGTTCCTGTATTAACCCTTGCGGACCTAACTGCGCATAGCACGGTGTCTTCTCGAGGGGACAACCATGCCTGGCGGGCTGCCATTGAGAAGGAGGCTTGCTGTTTTTTTCTTGTATCCTGGCCGTGCAGAAGAAAACAGCACCTAAAACGTACATGCTTCCATGCGTGCTGCTGGCTGACTCATATGTATTACTGTATGTTTGCTTATCTGCCAGACAAACTCCCCACCTATCTATCTATCTATCTATCTATCTATCGATCTACCTATCTACCTAATCTATCTATCTACCTACTCTAATCAAATCTTATCTAATCTAATCTCATCTAAGCTAATCTAGTCTAACCAAAGCTAGTCTAATCTAATCCAATCTAATCTGATTTATCCATCTATCTATCTACCTATCTATCCATCCATGCATCCATCCATCCATCCGTCCATCCATCCATCCATCCATCCATCCATCCATCCATCCATCCATCCATCCATCATCCATCCATCCATCCATCCATCCATCAGTCTGTCCATCAGTCTATCTGTCTATCTATCTTTCTTTCTTTCGGATTTCGCCCGAAGACCTGTCAACAAGCAAGTTATATACATTATGTAAAAACGAATATAGGCAGATGAACAAATAAAGAAAGAGATAAATAAATAAATAAATATCTATATATATATATATACACACATAGGGATGTCCCAATCACATTGGCAAGCCGATGTAGCAGCGAGTACAGTCCAGGAAACGGAACTGACAAAGTAGTGCATTATGTGCGCGTACATGCCACTGCCGTAAGCAAAGCGCCAAACAATCGAAGATTGCCCTAAACCCCAAACCCTAAACCGGTGAGCAGTCCGGGGTTGTGGGATCTAGGCTTAGAGTTCGTATGCTTGGGGGGTAGGGGGTGGAGAGAGTCATAGGGTCGGACGCACATAAGCAGTGCATTGGGTAATGTATACAATGTCTGGAGATGCCGTTGACACCAACGATTTTTTCTGGACATGCGAAGAACTACTTTTCTAATCGCTGGTTGTTTGGGGCTCAGTATGTATGGTTGAGATGGTTTTAGGGTGTAGGCTTTAGGCGGCTACAGGTGATGCAGCGGGCCGTGCGCAAGCCTGGCCTCATCGAGAGCGTGACAAGGGACATGAAGCAGTCGGAGCCCTAGACAAGAAGGTGTTAAAATCAAAACAACCTGAAAGCAAAACCCTAAGCCCTGTTTGTACAGGTACCTTACTTATGGGTCCCCATATACGCGATCCTACAATTATGGGCAGCCCTGGGGGCTTGTAGTTTCTGAAATACCCGCTTGGGCAAATAAAGATTGGTGGGAAAGGGCAGTGAGTCTCTTGGAACACCCCAGAACCTTAAGTCCCAAAGCTTGATCCCTATTTATGATAAACACCACAAGCGCATAAACCCTAAACCCTAAACCCCTATGGTACCATAAGCGCATAAACCCTAAACCTTAAACCCTGAAGTGTGCCCTCTTGCATACAAAGGGGGGGGGTCGTATACCTGTTTGCCTTTCAACCGGGGAACACCCACACCCCTCAACAAGGGTTCAGGGTTTAAGGATTTCGGGGTTAGGGGCTTATATAGGGGTTTAGGGGTTTAGGGTTTGGGGTTTTAGGGTTTAGGGGTTTAGGGGTTTGGGGTTTAAGGATTTCGGGGTTAAGGGTTTAGAGTTAAGGGTTTAAGATGAGGGGTTAGGATTTGGGTTCTGGTATGTAAAAAGGTCCAGAAAAGCCCTTTTCTGATTCTTGAGGCTCCTCTATCCTAGAACGTTTGGGTACCCCCTTAAAGGAATTAGTACCCCCTTAAAGGAATCTTTAGATAAGGAACGAAAGCTGAGGCGGAACTACGACATGTCCCCCTTTGGCAAAGAGGCACTCCGATGATCTACCTGCCGTCTTATGGTTTTAGTGTTTAGGGGCTTAGGGGCTTACCCTAAACCCTAAGCCCCTAAACCCTTATATCCTAACCCTAAGCCCCTAAACCCTAAACCCTATAAATCCTAAACCTTAAACCCCTAAATGCGAAGCCCCATACCGTCCCATACCCATTCAGCCCTCCTTGGGGTTTTAGGGTTGAAGGCTTTGCGGTTTTGGGGTGTTGGGGTTTTGGGGTTTTAGGGTTTTGGGGTTTAGGGTTTACGGTTTAGGGCTTTAGGGTTGAGGGTTTTAGGGCTTTTGGGGTTTAGGGTTTAGGGTTTATAGCGTTTAGGGTTCAGGGTTTAGGGTCTAGGCTAGGGTTTAGGGAGTTTAGGGTTTAAGGGTTTCAGGGTTTAGGGTTTTAGGGCTTTCTTTTGGGGGTGGAAGGCCGTGGGTCTCCGGCATATGCGGGGTCTAGATTCATAGGGGTCGTTTCGATCGCGCGGAACCCAAACTCTACATGACTGAAGGGCTTAGGGTTTAGGGTTTGGGGTTTATGAGGCGCACAATTGCTGGGACAAGGGCCCGAATTGTTGCATTGAGTGTTGTGTTTGGCTCTCCGGTTTTCGCCTG